TACCACCAGCCAGGACTTGATAGTCAAATTCGCATCTGTCGGTAACACTCGGCAAGCCGTCGTCATGTGGAAAATTGACAAGATAACCTTCCGGAATGTTGGCATAATACATGTAATACTCCAACTGCACTCGATGCAGGAGCCGAATTTGTTCTATAGCCTTGAGTTCGATAATCGCCTTTTCACCTGAGGCCAACTCAACGATCATGTCAGCACGCCTATTACCAACCACTTGACCCTTGTAGGTCAATGGTAGCTTGACTTCCGTGTGAACCTCGTCTACCCCGGCTTGCAGTAAGTCAATGGCAAGACATTTTTGATAGGTCCATTCCGATTGCTGTGATCCAATCTCTTGAAAGAGTCGGTTGCAGATACCAGGCAGCTCTCTCTCGAGTGTCAACTGATTGGTAATGCCAGAATCGGACATTTGACCTTCCAGCGAAGCGCTTGGAATGATCAAGGATGAAAGCAAATTCCATAGCTTCATGATGGTGATAGTGATGGCAAGTCAATCAGTATTGGTTTGGATTATTTGCCAGAACGACTGTGCGGGTTCCTCACGGCACAGAGACATTCACGGTACCAATATATCTGAAGGTGGCATGACACGCTGCGGTCATTCCGGTCAAGCTACTCAGTTCGTTGTGTTTGTGATGTCATCCTGCTTGCGTTTTGGAACTCGTGGGAACGAGTTTTGACCCGTTGCGGACTATTGGACAATCGAAGCGTCAATGAGACTGCAATAATACTTGCTCCAGTGCGTAATTTGTATAAAACAACGACAACTCTAACCATGAGGAGAGTGAGTCAGGCGCACAACGCTGCCCATCCTGGAAAAGAGATGCATCTGGGAGCGGCATGCTTCATTTTTATGTTCAGTTCAGTCCATTGAGAATCATAGAATGCTTCGCTTTCCTTCACCCAACATCACCAGAACCCTGCCCCTGAATCCGTCTTCCAATTAGACGACGATTCATACCCTGGATTGATTCTCAGCGCAGTCAGGGCTGAACGAAATCAAGCATCACTTGCTACTTCCACAAACGTGGCTTACAATCATCTTCTATAGTCCCTTCTTCACTCTGGGTTCCTCACGATGACAGAAGCATACCGCAACGCTGACATCTGAATGCATCATGACGCGCTGGTTTGGGGTGTCATTGTGCTTGCGTTTGGAACTCGTTGGAACGAGTTTTGACTCGTCGGACTGACGTTTCTTCTCCCGCAACCATCAGAAAGATTTGAAA